GCTGGGCTATTCAGCCATGCACCGTAGTTGCCGAAGAATGGACTGCCCAAAACAAACGTGTTCTTAGGCTACCAAGTCCAAGACAATATTCGTTGCATACAATATCATGCAAACGTCAAGGTCAAGGTCAGGCCAGGTCCAAAAATGAAATATAGAAAAGGGCATGTGGGACACATGTTATATGGGTCATAATATTCATAGAATTCAATAGGCACACTAAATAAGTGATATGGACCACATCTGGATGAATTTCAGGTCGAGGTCAGGTCAAGGTCAGGTCAAATGAGGTCAACTTTTGAAGCTGGTTTTTCAGACCTAAAAAGGTGTCTTTATGATGCAGTTATTCACGGCAAATCGAATGGTGCTATTTTTGTTTCCGTACAAGGTCTAGAACTTGAAAAAAATCATTTTTCAAAAGTTTTGTGTGTCGTGATGTCATAAAACTTGAATAACTCCAACATTTTTGAACCGATTCTTCTAAAAATGGTATGTAGGTGGCAGGTGCACATAGACCACTTTTCTGACATAGGTATATTCCGGTTTTCGACACACTCAAAATTTTGGATTTTGTAGGTAATTATTTTCCAAAAATATCAGTATTTGGGCCAAAATCAAAAATTTTCAAAAACCGAGATAGCCATTTGATAGACAAAGTAGAATCACGTCCTAACCTTTTTTTGTTACGTCTTGATTCCTTTAAAATGAAGATGTTAGCGGCGTTTGAAGTTTTGCCGTTTTTTTAGGTGAAAATGGCGGGAAATGACGTCACTTAACCCGCGCTCCGTTGGGGTCTGCCGAGCAACGCGCCCTGTTGGGGGGGGGGGCAATTTGCCCCCCCCCCAGATCTCGAGAACTACGCAACATAGCGACAAGCAGCAAACTCTACAACTCTACGGATTTTTTTTCTACGGAAAGGGACAGGAAGCCGTTTCGCCCCCCCCCCTTACGGGGCGCGGGTTAATGCTTCAATGCGTTATCCGTTCGAATGCGTTTCAAGCAGCCTGCGGTTTTCCTCACTGCCCTCGTTCCATGCTCACGGGACATGTAGATTGTTTGTTGTAGGTATGCATTTAGACCTACTGGCAGCCGGCATGCCTGGTGGTTATGGTTAGGAGCTTTTAATAATAATAAATGATAATGAAGTAATTATTTTTATATTTACGTCGACTTTTATGTGAACATTAGTGACAAGCTCATCAAAATGTATTCAAAGAAATTTTTCCATTGAAGTTCGTCAGGAAAATGCCTGTAGGTACACTTACAGGGTGTCCCAGAATTACCCGAACATTGTTAATTAGCGTATAAAATAAGGCAAACATGATTGCGCTTTTTTCCTTTTATCGTCCTATATAGTCAACTAGGGTGGCTGTGAAATACCACATGCAATAGATACGCTTGTTAAAAGATCAGTTCCCAGGCCATAAGGCATTATCCCCCAAAGCAAAAATTTCTGCCTACACCATTTTTGCCGCGTTTTTTACATCTGAAGTGGAGAAGCTCCATTTCTGAACATGGCGCGACCTTTGACTTCCAACAGATTTGATTTCCAAAACAAACCCTTCATGGCCATTTGGTTCACGGCATCCAGTTATTGTACTGGTAGAATATTACCGCAGTAGTACTCTGGGCTAACGGTTGTCTTGGGGCCATCATATCAAGCCGAATGAGTGCACAGCGGCTCAAAATGTCTCGCAATTTGATTTTGGACGGGTGCCTGGCCGTCTCTGCTGTTGGGGCGTTGTAGCCATCTGACGTTCACACACGCCTTTTTTCGGGCGGTTAAAATGACAGAATACCTTCGTTAGACCACAAAGTGTGCTTCAATATACTTTTTTGTTGTATATGTTATGTTTTTGGGATGAATTGTAGTGATTTGCGCTACTTTTCCCGTAGTTTTCGCATATTTTTTAGGCGAAGGACCCCAAATTCCAAATTTTGTCGAAGATAGTGGTGCTAAGTAGACTGATGTTTTTTAGATAATCCTGATCTATCGTTTAGCTAGTTTTTAGCTAGATCGGTGACGTTTGTTGTCCATGACAAGCAACCACCCGTTTGACAACTGGTGCATGGCCCTTTTTGACCGAGCCCAAGCTTGTCAATCAGGTTTACATTGTGTCCGGAAATTATTTGCCCCTTGTTCATTCAGCTATAATCCCACCGTGCGCTTTAAGAACGGTTGAAAATTTGCTAAGACCATGCCTCAGGCTATCCACAGCTGCCCGTTAGTCACGTGACCTAACCCGGTCACCTGACCTAGACACTTGTGTGGCGCCAGGGGCCAGTGTTTGGCAGGGGTAACTCGCACCTGAACGTGGTGTCTACTATGACGAAAGAAACTCATCGACAAAGCGTCATCGCGCTGAAGGTATGATGAAGACTGGAATGAAGTAGGAAGTCAATTCGAATCCTCTATCCTAACTCCAATCGAAAACCTTTGGGGAATCATGAAGGAGGCACTCAGCAAGACTGAACCAGCTCCCACAGAAAACGGACTTTAGAGGAACCTGTGAAAGGTGTGGTTGAACATCAGCGCGGACACTCTGGACATCTTGATCTATGGAATGCCAAGGCGGGTGAGGGAATGGGTAGGACAGGGCAGGTGATAAATCGGTAAATAAACCATGACCCAGGGCTCTTTGTTTATAAAATATGGCGGCGTGCTGATCGAGGGGCAAGTAATTTCCGGATACCCATTACCCTGTATATCTTGCTCTCTCTGGCTTCGTTAGCTGATATAATTGCGCTTTGCTCAATCCTAACTGCTTGCAGATGAGCTGCTGAAGCTCTCCAAGCAAAAACCATGCCGAAAGTCCGCTTACAAAGTTGAGAACGGGAGTTGATTTACCATGGTTGCCTATTAGTGGCTTAAGCTGAAAAAGGAAAAGGACTACTCTTACTTGACTCTGGATAATAATTGACTCGAGTCGTTACCGGTCACCAAAAGCACAGTCCCCAAGCTCGATAGCTAAGGGATATCTTACAACAAAAGTATGATGCTTGTATATCATTAGAATCGAGCGCAATCGTACTTTTAGCCAGCAAATAAATGTTCGGGTAATTCTGGGACACCCTGTAAGTATTGTGGTAATTAGATTGGAAAATCGTTACAAAACGCTGTTTTTTGGCTATGAAGCCAGGTGCGGTCATTGCCGAACCCAATGCGTAAAGTTGCGGCTTGTATCCAAAGGCTAAGAGAACGTTCAGCAATGCGGTATTGTCAGCATCTTTACATTGGGTCGTATACCTACACAGCGTCCAATGTCATACTAAAGGTACAGCATAATGAGTAACGATACCGTAACTGTCGATCTTCAATCGTCCCACTCCAAAGTCCCCAAAGTCTCAAAACTCAGCAATGTTTTAGATGTATTGCATTAAACATGCACGGAAGAGTGATACTGATTTGCAACCAGAACTATCGGTAAATTTAAACAGCACAAAAGCCGGAACGCGAAAGCCTCGCACACCGGGTCAAATAGAATAAACGAGAACAGTGCGTCTAGCGACAGATATACTTGCTTCCAGACATGTAAACTCGAACATATATGTAAGTACACACCGGGTTGGAAGAACTGACTTTGGCACCACCGTTGTTTGGGTAAAACATGAAGGTGCTCGTGGGAAAATAAGCTGTAGTCAGCACTCTATAGTCTGTTCCATATCAAGCTTGCAGTCGGAGTTTCTTCGGCAGACCGCTCCTCCGCTCAAGAATTTACGGTCGTCAAGTTAGATGTAAGTGAATCCTAATCTATAATCTAAGATTCGGAATCAGCCGAGCCCCTGCGATTTGGACCAAACTTGGTCAGTGGATAGTACGTAACGTCCTGATTACGATGCACCCAAAATCTAAGCTCGGCCCGCCATATTTACGAAGTTACGGATGTTTCAATTTCAAGGTCATTCGGGAGAGCCCCTACGATTTCCGTCAAAATTTGTGTACGGACACTCTAGGTGCTCCTCATTACGAATATCACAAAATTTAAGCTCGGCCCGCCATATTTACGAAGTTACGGATGTTTGAATTTCAAGGTCATTCGGGAGAGCCCCTACGATTTCCGTCAAAATTTGTGTACGGACACTCTAGGTGCTCCTCATTACGAATATCACAAAATTTAAGCTCGGCCCGCCCTATTTGTCAAGTTACGGAGTCACAAAGCTACGGAATTTCAAGGTCATTGGGCGAGCCCCTCCGATTTTCGTCAAAATTTGTATGCGGACACATTACATGCTCCTCATTACGAATATCGTAAAAGCTAAGCTCGGCCCGCACTATTTCAAAAGTTACTGAGGTTTGAAACTCACTGAAATTCAAACATCTGTAACTTTTGACATAGTGCGGGCCGAGCTTAGCTTTTACGATATTCGTAATGAGGAGCATGTAATGTGTCCGCATACAAATTTTGACGAAAATCGGAGGGGCTCGCCCAATGACCTTGAAATCCCGTAACTTTGTGACTCCGTAACTTGAAAAATATGGCGGGCCGAGCTTAAATTATGTGATATTCGTAATGAGGAGCACCTTGAGTGTCCGTACACAAATTTTGACGGAAATCGTAGGGGCTCTCCCGAATGACCTTGAAATTCAAACATCCGTAACTTCGTAAATATGGCGGGCCGAGCTTAAATTTTGTGATATTCGTAATGAGGAGCACCTAGAGTGTCCGTACACAAATTTTGTCGGAAATCGTAGGGGCTCTCCCGAATGACCTTGAAATTCAAACATCCGTAACTTCGTAAATATGGCGGGCCGAACTTAGATTTTGGGTGCATCGTAATCAGGACGTTACGTTCTATCCACTGACCAAGTTTGGTCCAAATCGCAGGGGCTCGCCTGATTCCGAATCTTAGATTATAGATTAGGATTCACTTACATCTAACTTGACGACCGTAAGAATTTGCGTCTCAAAATGTAAGAGCTGTATGTATATGCAGAAATCACGCACTGCTTTCAGCAGGGCACTTCGGCTGCAAGCTTGAAACGGAACAGAGTATAGCCACGGAATATATAGTCTACGACATGGAATGGACAGATCGCGATTTAACCACGTTAAACGTGTAACTCGAAAGTAAGCAAGGAGGCGCCCGTATTATAAACGCACACAGTGTTCTCGCGCTAGAAAATCAAATATTCTTCGCAAAACCACGAAAAAACTCGACAACCTAAACAAAATTCGACATTCTTGTGCAGTAGTGATTCAAGGGTAGAATCGACGGTTTATTTAGTACTGGTAACGGCGATTTACCGTTAATCTACTCATTCATTTGAATTTTTTGTACTTTTTATTGTGATTCACAGTCTTCGAATATACAAGGAAAAAGCTGTAACCAGAGAAAGACGCAAATTTGTGACGCTGAGGGCTTTAAATGACTGGAATGCTCTTCCAGAAAGAGTGGTTACTGCCCCAACCCAAGAAATCGACCAGCTTTGGGCAACGTCTCAGTTCAAGCAATGATTGAGCTTGCCTGATGCATCGTCAAAATCAGCCACAAAGTTGAAAAACATCCAAACGGAGGAATTTCGTGGAGAGAAAGTAAAAGTGAAAGCGAGGAAGTCGCAGGCCCTTTGCAAGGAGCCTCTTTCCATGGACAGCTTCAGCTTCAACTTCAACTTCAACTTCAACTTTATTAGGATTATGAATGAGTTTGCGGATTTGCGTTTTTATCGCGAATTTGTGGGCTTAAAAAGTGATGTGGCCCAGCGCGGCTCGCTGCGGCTACTGCCAAAAGGCGATATCAAAATCGCAACTGTCTAGACACCGGAGAAGGCCAAGATTACTTTACCGAGAAGGCTGCACCAGTGGCTGCCTACGACCCGGCCCGGCCGGCACCGCAAAAGTGACCGGCACCGCAAAAGCGAAGGACAACCGGCTGATGGTATCCTTCGCCAGTGGAGCTGCTGTTTCTGGAGCTGCTGCTTCTGCTGCCCCAGTTATAGCGAGAGACGCCAGCCCCCTGGACCAGCCGCTGGCTGCTGTCGCCTACATGGAAGTGACCACGACACCGACAGGGGCCGGTAAGCTGTTCATTGAAATGATCGTGCAGTTTGGCACACGGAGAAAAATATTTACTCCGCTAGGTGGGGTTCTGACGTCCCAAATACAGTACCTATATTGGAGTAGATTTTCGCCTTGTTTTGGAGTTTTATCCATTAAACTCCATCTTACCGGGTTTCAATACTCCAAACAGTTACGCATGAGGAGTGAGAGAACTCCCAGGCTCCTTCATTTAATCTGGTACATCAAATGAGATACTTAAGTTACTCTGCCTCGTCATGGAATACTCCAAAGTTAGTGGTATATGAACACCCATAAAAGGAGTTCCCGAAATAAGGTGTTTGTAAATCCTTCGGGGAGTAAATATTTTTCTCCGTGCAGATAGATGCTCACGCTAAATTGCATTGTACGGGAATCGCTGCTCCGGGAAGCGTTTTTTTTTCGTTTAGCTGGAATCGATTTTGTTACAAGAGGTGAAGAAAAACGGACAGCGTTGTCGAAGTGCTATTTATTGTTTCTGAACTTAATAGCGGGTTGAATAGTGGAGCTCGGCCCAGGTGGAAATTGGTACATGACACTCGCTACTCGTCGTTACCCCTCATGCAGACACGTGCTTTGCCTTTGTCAGGTTCGGTGCAGGCACACCAGCTTGCGCCGACACTGACGAGTGACGGTGGTTTTCACGTCGCCCCTGATGCCGGCGAGGGGCCAGCCAGACCCGTCGATGCGGCGACCGCGGTACCAGCTGACGCTGTCGAGCAAGAGCGCGCACATTTCACTGGTAGGTGAAAGACAGGGCCGAAGCTTGCCCTGCATTTTGAAAGCGGCCGTTAGATTCGGAACCACGAATGGCAGCTCCTTCAACAGCTCTATATCTGGAGCCATTTTCCGCACTGCTGGCGGAGATTCTCGATCTCTAAAGCTTTACGGTACAGCATAACTTCAGGCGCTCGCTCTTCCTGCCATCTAGCGGAAGAAAAATGTCGCGGGCCGCGGCAGTAGAATCGCCATTCCGTTCCTCTCTGTTGACTATCATGTCAGCACAACATTCGTCGGTGTTTTTTTTTTTTCAACCGCTTATTCTAAGCAGTAACCGACGGCACACTCCGGAGGACTGATTGGTGTTTCGGTTCTCCCTCCAGGTACTGCATCGCAGTGTCGCCACCACGCACGGAGGACGCCAGAGGACGGCCCGTCAGTCTTCACGGCCAGCGCGCTGGGCCGGCACGGGTCACACGCTCGGTGAAGTAGCTGCCCTGCGCGTACAGCTCGACATCATCTGTGGTGTCATCCCAGCCTTTCTTCACATCATTCACTCGCCGCTTCAGCCACGCCGCCGCCGGCCGCAGTCATCCGGCCACGGAGGAGATAAGTGATAGGCCGACCACACCACAAGAACAGTGCTCTCCGTGTAAATATCACGACCGGAAGTGCGCGAGCTACTGACTGGAGACGGTGCTCGCGCTGACGCTGTTTCCTCGACGTTTATGCAGTTCCTGGCGAGGTGACCGGTCTTGCTGCAGGTTTAATAACGCCGTGCCCGGTCCGCCGTGGACCGTGGCGACCCGCTGGTCTGACCGACCCGCCGGTGTCTTGGCGTCTCACACCCGCTGCTGCCGAGAACACGTTCGTCACTCAACACTGCCCGCGCCAGGATGCTGGCCAGATCCAGGCCTTCTGCGCGCGTGTCGGCCCGAATTGTGCTGCTAACGGCGTCTGGTAGCCCGGCGATGAAAGCACTGGCGATGAAAGCACCTACCCGAATGCAAGCCGAATGCAGCAAAAGATGCTCCTCCAAGTGTGGAAACCGAGCGTCGTGCGCGCTCCAAATTTTAATACAACCAATTTTTGCAGGCTTTTGACTTTGAAAATTTCACCGGCGCAGTTCGCACAGTTTCGGAGCAATAACCCGCCAACAGAGACAGACTCACATACATCCATACATAGTTTTAGAGTTTTATAATAGTAATTTAATTTATAAGAGTGAAAAGAAATAACCTCATGCTCATTAATATCGAAATTAAAAATGGTAATCCAGAATATATTTTTTGTGAATGTCACTTCGTCGGATTAATATGCAGAATTGATGGGAAAGCTAAGCAGTGTTTCGTTTCCCTCGTGTCGTGAATGTCACCGACGGAAGTGACATTCACGAAAATATATTTTTGATTAACAATTTTAATTTCGATATTAATGAACATGAGGTTATTTTTTCACTTATACAACGTTAACTATGCTCAAAAGAACGCTTAACATTATTAAACAAAGGTTATTTAATTTGATAAAACTCATCTCGTTTATCAGCACGGAAGTGCCAAAACCACAGCAGCACACCTAAAATTGCCAGATAGCCAAAAACTCAGCAGTTACAGGAAAAATTCGTTTTGTCCATTCCATGTCGTAGACTACATATTCCGTGGTATAGCCAAACAATAACCAGAGAGGTCGCTTAAACGCGAAGACTAAAACAATGGATCCATCATCTGAGAGGTCACCACCAACAACTCTTTGACAAACGGTAGCAACGCCTAACAATATGCAATCAACGCTTTGTGGCATATGCATGAATAGCACAGTTGATAAAACAATATGAGAAAGCGCTTGTTTGAGGCTCATGATGATAAGTATAATGATGAAAGAAAACCGAAGCCTCATAATAATGAATGTATTCTAAATTATGACCGAGAAGAAAGAGATAACAGTTTCAGGCATAGCCCATCATCAGATCTCCTAAAAGATACATTTTGAAAATACACTCTCAAAGAAGAGGATGGTCGCTAAATGTGTCAGGATGTGTTAAAAGGCGAGATCACATTTTCAAAATGTATCTTTTAGGAGATCTGATGATGGGCTATGCCTGAAACTGTTATCTCTTTCTTCTCGGTCATAATTTAGAATACATTCATTATTATGAGGCTTCGGTTTTCTTTCATCAGTTGATAAAACATCTGTAAGAGGGACCGATTGCCGATTTCGCCTTTCATTAGTTATTTTTGTCCATCGGAACAATGTAAATAGGGAAATGTAATTCACATTTGTGTAAAAACGTCGTTATCTGTAAACGTTGACGTTGCTGCCGTTTGCCATCATTCATCACAATTGCCAACATTTTTCACACTGTTGTGTAACGAGCATTACCTGTCCAGTGTCCAGTACCTATTCCTAGCACAGCAACAATAAAGCAAAAATAATGCGCTGGGGCAACTGGGCGGTCAAGCACAAATGAACACTGAACGCAGACAGGTGTTTCACTGCAGCGGGACGGCTCAGAACGTCATTCGTAAACCGCGGGTGCTGAGGGTATGGGGTGGACTCTATCAAACACTTCAGCCGGTGCAAAGGGTTCATTTACTGAACGTCTTGTGTACTTTGGGAAAATCAAAACTATAATCTTATATATTTGGCACAATGGTCACAAAACTTTGCAACTACTGACATTTTAAGTAAGTGAAGGTGGATATATAATAAAGGGCCCTTTAAAATCCATAGTACTGTAGGTACGGAAAGTCAAGAATACTTTTTACATCCAAGTTAAATTATTTATTTTTTAGCCCAGCAATGCTCTGCTGTGAAAGTTAATGATTGCTTGCGAAACCTAAATACTCTCACCTTTTATTTGAAAATCATTTTTCATATTCATGCTCAAAATTGAGTACAATTTTGTTGTATTTTTGTCTGAATGGAATGGCTTTTAATTCGTAACAACCGTTTTTGCGTCCGCCATTATGTATGCACGTACTTTTCATTATATGGTATATGCAACAGACTGAATAAACTTATCGACAATGATATATCGATTTACTTCAAATCATTCTCTCATTGTATCACAGATCATTCAAACATAGTATCGACCTTTCAAAAAGTCAACCAATAGTTACACTATATTCCCAAGGCTATGAATTTATAAATGTTTTCAGTACTGTGGCAAGAGCTACGATCCAGAGCTATGATTAAGCTGAAAAACACATAAAATAGCCGTTTTGCTAGGAATTGAGGGAGTGTTTATCATTCATTGATAAACGCAAAATCACGTTGTTTGCATTTGTATGATTTGAAGAACTAGATATTCGAAAATTAACAGTGTTTTTTTTAAAACGCTCTGTCAGTTAACTAATAGTTTATGTGAAACCATCCTATGTATGGTCCTTTTAAACACCTGTCTGAAAGATGTATACACGACAAAATGTGAACAGCAACCGTCTTCTTAAATATGCTAGATAACATGATGAATCTGACTGTGAAACTACCGTGTTACAATGGCTGCCAGCAGGACCCTGTAAGCCCAGTCTGCCTGAGATCATGCGAGATGCCCTGCTGAGTCGGTGAGCTCAGGGGCAACTCAGGCGGTGAGTCGGTGACTCGCACGACTCACTGCTCACCGCTCGTTCTTCTCGCCGTCTTACACCGATAAAGAGAGCACGAAGTCAACGACTCCACTGAGGATACACGACTGGTCATGATGGATATACACGATTGTTGAAAAGCCATGACTTTGTGAAGCTCGAGAGTCTTTATAGCTTCAAGCCGGAGTGACTGGTTTTGGCAATCTGGCTCTGTCGCGGGGTCTTACTGAATCGGAATTATGTAAACGGAGTAGTTACACATAAATATCGAACCCTATCTGATCGACGCTGATCGTATTTCACAATGGTACCGTTACATAAACATTATTCAGTTGTGTGTTCCTGCTCTCTGTGGATTGTTAAAATCTGCATGCGGTGCTCTTGGACTAGAGTTCGAAACGGCTGTTTGGTGGTCTGTTCTGCGGCCACTCAGAGCCAGTATTTTCCACGGGTGGGTGAAATCCATGAAGACATGTCCATGCGGTGGGAGGTCTGCACTTCACCAGCACGTTCCCTCGAGCTGAAGTAGTTGACTTCACTGAACTCAGGCGTAGAACTCACACTTGGATCGCAGCTGGTACTCGACGGCTGCCTGCTCGTACATCTCTACACTCTGGGGGCAGACATGGGAGTCATTAGCAAGTTAACTAATTAGGTTAGAGTCACATCCATTACACCATGTGGGCAGATACGGGAGCCAGTAGTGAATCAATTGGGCCAGGTTAGGGGCGGGAGGGCAAGAGCCACGATTAAATTTACAGTGACGATGGCATAGATATATCTATACCGAGGCATACATAAGTCGCAAATGTGTTATCGAATTTATCGAAGTCCTGCCTCCTATCTGAACTCACCAGCTTAATGTCCCGCGAGAGATCCTGCAGCTCCTGTTCGTGCTGCTTCTTCAGCTTCTCGGACTCCTTGTTCTGTCGCATCGCCGTCATCTTCCGCTCCTCGATGAACTTCTTGGTGTTGTTCTGGTTCTTTTCGCGCAGTCGTCGGTCCTTCTCAGCCTTGTTGCGCAGGGTCTTGTCCTGGGCCACCTCTTTAGCGGTATCCACTGAGATTTTGGCCTGTCGAGCCTTCAGCTCCTTGTTTTCCCTGGAAATGAAACGAAATAGTGCACGCTAAGTGAAAAATGATATGGTATGGTTCAATTTCCTAAAAGAATTATTCAAAGCACACTTACTTAGATTTATGGCAGAACGGTAAGTGCATCCTGAAATATACATTAAGGTCGGTCAGGTAAAAAGTTTTGCTATTCAGTGTTCACCACTGTTGCGTCTCGCCACTGCATTGAGCTACGGCGTACCGTTTGAACTATATAGCTTTGTAACAATTCCATTGTTCCCCTTTTCTTAGTTTCCCTACCTCTCGAACTTGGCCTCGATCTGTTTGATCTGGGCGGCCTGTGCGGCCTCCATGAGCCTCTTCAGGATGTCCTCCTGGCACTTGTAGTGCTCCTTGAGCAGATCCCACTCCTCGTGCCGGTGGCGACTCATCAGCTCTGACCACGTGTCAATCTGCTCCTTCACCAGAGCCAGCACCGCCGGGTCGTTCGGGTCACCTCTGCACAGAGGGACGAGGGGTCGTCAGGTCGTTCGGGTCACCTCTGCACGGGGGGACGAGGGTTCGTTAGTTCGTTCGGGTCACCTCTGCACAGGGGAACGCGGGATCATCAGGTCGGTCGGGTTATTTTTGGTCGGAGGACACGAAGGGTCATTGAGTTTCACCGCTGGCTGGGTCATTGCGGGCCCCCTGTACTTATCCCGTTTGGGCCAAGTGCCGTCAGCCTGGGTTTACGAGACTGCTGCCGTTGCGGCGAAGTCGATGGCCGATAAAATGGCTATACAACAAAACGATGCTGTTGGCGAGACTGGCGAAGTTTCAAAAAACTTATGAGGAGATTACCTACGAGTGACGAAAGGCTTTGTAACAAGAAATCATACTCACCGTTTGTCTTTGCTGAGTTTCTCGATGGCCACGCACTGCGACTTTTGCATGCTCACGCGCTCCTTGGTCTGTCGCTTCTTCATGGCTTCCAGCTCCTTCTGCTGCTTCTTTGTGGCCTTGGCGAAACCCTTCTCCTGCCGCAGCGACTCGGCCGTGATCTTCTCAAACTTGAGCGGCTCCTCTGCACCACAGAATAACGAACCGGTGTTACACTTTACGCTGTATTTCACATGCTCAATATTGCATACCTACCTATATGTCAGTAAGATTTACCGATATTGCGCACCTACCCGAGCATGTTTATTCTACCCAATTATAACAAATGGTATTGATGTTAGCTATTATATGTCGCTTATTTCCTTGGCAAGCGAGCATAGGAACGTTCACACACAAAAAAAAACGAAACGCTCTCGCACACTCACGCACCTTTCTTGGGCTCGTCCTTCTTGGCACCGTCTTTGGACGCCTTGGCGTTGTCGGCGCCGGAGTCTTTCACGGCCTGGATGTCGGCCTCCTCGATACCCATGGCTTTCATCTGTTCGGCCCGCTTCTCCTGACCCGAGAGGAACGCTCGCGGATCGGACAGCGCGTCCATCAGGTCTGTCGGGGGTCGGCAGGGTGGTCGGGGTTAAGAGTTAGGCGTGATACTGGTAGAGGCAGCATGGTTGACTCAGTTTGCTTTTAGATGGCAGATTTCGACGCATAAGGATATCTGTAATTGGACGACCATAGCTATTTCTGGTGTCTTCTTCGAAATGCGCATACCAATGTTTCGACGACTGACCAATCGCCTCTGCCTTTATAGAACAAAGTGAATAACTGTACTGAATTTAAATTGCATCCACTGGTTGGCAATGCGAAGGCGATAAGTGATCCAACGCGGCACACTACGGTATTCGACGTTCAGTAAGTTGGCCCGACTACTCACCGCCCAGTCCGTCGGGAACGTAGATCTTCAGGTCGAACCTGCAGAACAGCATGGGTAGCGACATGGGGAAGTTGCCTTCCGTCCGCAGGGAGATGTGCCGGTAGCCAGCCTGCAGGCCATCTAGGGGAAGGATGCGCTGTCCGAGCATCTTGCCGTTCTCGTCGTACACGCCAATTCGTAGCATGGCCAGGTCCGGCAGCACCACCTGGTGGCAGGGAAGGGAAGCTGTAGTACAGAAAACGGACGGTAGGTAGAAGAGTGTAATGGGCTTTTGCGTTCAGTGCCCTGAATGGCGGCTAAATTTATTATATATCATATAAATTATGAGCTGAAAACACGTCATGCTAGGATATTGCCCTTACATGTAGAATCATATGCAATCACAGCATATATGCTTGAATAAAGTCGGCTGAAATTAAATGCGTTCTTGGGTACCTATTCCACGACAGACGCCTCGGAATCTCATTTGTGATAAAGTGCGTTATATTGCACCTGATTGAGATGCAGCGTGGGCTCCAGGGAAGATTTATGATGGGTAGATATAGTGCGTGCAATACCCAGGACTATAAAAAGCTAGTTATGAGGGTCGAGTGGTTAATGCCAAGCGACAGGGGAAGGACCATTGCATTGGTGCTATTTTGTACAAGTCTACATATGGATATCATTGTGTTTGTTTGAACTCACTGAACTTAACTGCTAACTGCATTAGGATTAAAGCAAAACCTACATCTTGCCATTACCATTCATTAACTTGATCCTACACATCCAAACAAATCCTCTTAGTACGGTCCAAGAATTCGACTTGACTAGAATGAGAATATATGCATCTATTTTTACAGAACAACACAAAGTTTGCCACTGTAGACGGAAATAGGACGGACGCTGGACAGTAATGGATTACCTTTCTGAACACGAACGGCTCCTCATTGTAGACCGGGTTGAGGCCGTTGGCGGGCACCATCTTGGTTCGGAACTCTTTTCGGATGGTGTCGGTGGGGAGACCGTACATGTCAACTTCCACGTATGTGCCGACCTTCTTGTCCGAGAGGAACTGACCGGCTATCACCTGTGATGGGAAGAGGTGGCATTCTTCAAACGATTTATTTGTCAGCATTCCTAGTGGGCGAGGTTGTTATAAATTCTCTTAAGCTTATGAACTTTTGTAAAAATGAAACAAACTTATAGTTGAATGTTAATACCGTGTTTTGAACGTGAAACGAAATAAAGGCAAAAGAAAGGCTTGAAAACATCGGCTATGTACTCAAACTGAGAAATTAGGTAGCTAGCTAACTAACTAACTAACCTGCACGGAGCACTGAGCGGCGATCACGCCGTCGACGGGCGTCTCGGCGAACGGGTCAAAGTCCTTGTCCGGTCGCCGCATGAAGTCGGGTTTCAGCTGGTAGCCGCAGTTGCCGTTGTACTCGAACTTGCCCTGGTTCAGCTGCATGGGCAGGTCGGGGGTCTGGAAATTCAGCGACACCATCTGGCAGCCGGCGTTCCAGAAAATCTGCAAAACGGGAAATTTGGGCGTCAAAAGCATGCAAAGGTCCAGTGCGAATTATTTCTGGAGTGCACTAACAGTGGAAGATTTAACTTTTCAGATCAAAGGGCGCCAACTAGATTTGCAATTACTATTCTGTTGTTTATTTATTTATATAAAATTAAATTTTGGCACATGTTAAAATGTGCAAAATAAAGCATGTTAAATCATAATGGAAAGAAATGAAATGGATTTTGGACCAGCATCAATGGCGAGAAATAATAGTAATGGAAGCTTTTAACGCTCTAACCTGAGGCTGATGCTCAATGAAATAAATGATAACCTGTAAGGAGAATACAAATTTGGCGACGACTATTTGTAGAATGTAGGTGCTAGAAAATATACTCAGCATTTATTTTTCGGATTTGGCGACTTCACTAAATTTATGTTGAGTAGGGTAAGGGCGGGTAAGAGGACGCGGGCGATAAGAGTACGCATCAGCTGTTTCGGTTGCCTAGCAACGCGGGTTTGTCGAGTTCATGAAGTGACATGAAGCCGCCAGTGCGTATTTGTCACCTACGGAACGTGGGCGTTGTGCGGCGACGCTGTTGAGTTTAAGGCGATGAATATTATTTTGGAGCGTTATGATATTATTATGGTATGGTACAATAATTTTGATACTTGGCAGTTGAGATAAGGTACATTTTTGTGATTACTGTGGGAAACTTGAGAGGTTTTCTGGGGAAATACTGTGCAGTGCAATATTCTGTTTGTGAAGTTTTGCACAATATTTCGGGGTTGTTTTGTGCGCGAATTGCATGGAGGGTAAGAGTACGCACTGTTCATGAAGGTAAGAGTACGAAGAATTATACATTATATCGAATATACAGAAATATCAAATTATTGATATATCGCTCAATGACGTTTGTTTTGTAGGTATGTCATCAATGGAGCGCTGTGAGGCAGATGCGTACCCGAAATTCTCCTAAATACGATTTATTTTCCCTTTTGATTGTACATTTTTAGAGTCACAAGACTTGATTATTTCTTGATTTATAGATATGCAAAATTTATTTTATGTTTTTCTTTTTTGATACTAGATTAAATTAAATGTCTTCTGAGTTTGATGCTAGGCATTTGGACAGTAGGTATAAGCTGTCTATAGGTGTGTGCTTATATGCTTGCGTACTCCACCTGCATGGTGTGCGTACTCTTACACACCCCATGTGGTAAGAGTACGCAACAGCAGCGGTTCAGAAAACGTCAGTTTTAGACCACTTCCATTTACGCTGAAGGATCGTTGCCTCATGGGTTGATGGCGAATTCAATGAACTTTGATATTCTATATTTGCGATTCCTTTCTTTCAAATATTTAACAAATGAGAGCAAAAAATCCACTAAGTGCGTACTCTTATACGACTTCACCCTATATCCTCTGGAAACATCGCCCATCACGTGCATCATTTACAGGCGTCCAGGAACTAACCCTGCCCTGGTTGGCCCAGAGCAGGAAAGTTATCCTGCCCTGAACTGACTTCGTAGAGTGTCAAAACTCTAATAGCTGCTTCCGTATACCCTCCATCCAAGTATAACCACGCTCTATGAATCATTTATCACGGTACTAGCCTGTGGCATGTAGTTTGACGAGTCGGCCCGTGTGCCTTTGGGGTAGATCCGGCTCATCTGGCGTTTGTTGTAGTTGACAAACTCGATGGCCGACGATTTGAGGTAGCCCAGACCGGCCGTCTCGGCGAACGAAGACATGTTGTGGTGGATGTTCTTCTCTGGAACAGCGACACGGTGAAATGTGTCATGATTGAATGGTTATAGGCCATGGCACGCAACATGTTATCATAAAAACGAGAATTTTGATAAAAATCGACGAAAAATTGTGTCATCGAAACAATAAAAACGTAAAATCAAGTTTGTGAATGGTGAGGTAGGTACTATTTTTTCCATGCAACATGAAAAACATGGATTAATGAATGTTTGATGTTAACGACGGATTTCTCGGTACAAAGCATAGAAAAATCATCCTCACAACGTTACTAATAAAATTGCTCTATTTTACTTTTTATATTTTTGTTGACACTATACTGTTGCTAAATCATATCTATCTTGAATTATAGGCGTTTTATAACTAATGGAAATGTTTCGAACCTTTGCCAGTCAGACAAAAACTATGCCTTCATCTTTGAAGGTGACGATACAGCCCATTCATCATCCTAATAAAAAACATTTCGTTCTGACGCCAGAAGAAGTTCAAAGAAATGACCTTCAACGTCATAAATGCTACTCATCAGCGCGACCAGTCGGTGCCCAGTGACCGGCAATATCTACTCAGACTCCAGCTTGCCTTCCCTCTAACAAACGCCCTATTCTCCCGAAGACATCATTGTCGGATGGTGATAGCGCCCAGAGCTCACTGATGGCGTTATCAAAGCCGGCGAATTTGATCGGCTGCGCGTAGTTGATGAAGCTGGACAGCAGCGGGTGCACGCAGGCCGTGGATCCGGTGTGGGCTGCTGCTGCTGCCGCCGGGTCAGCCGCCGCCGCGGGGTCAGCAGCGCCGCCCTCCGTCGGCTCCTGCGCATGCCAGAACGGTGCGTGCAAACAGCCATAGAACAACACTCGGGCTCGGCACGTACACACTCGTGCGAGGAACACAAGCAAGCAGAAACGAGCAACGTCAACGGGGCTGACAGGAACAGTGTTTGTTCGGCGCGTGTAAGCGGGACAAAAGACGTGCGGTAAAAGAGGCAAAAAGAAGCTTGTGTAAAAAGAGACAAGCCGTTAATTAGCGACTCACAAACAGGCAAGTCCAAATGGCGTCTTAATCACAACAAACAGACTGTATTCTGTCAAGTCAATATTGATATTGGTGCCAGATTACTTCAAGGCTCAAGTTTCGATGCACATTCCACACAATGCCACTCGACTCGCATGCACGTTATAACAAATTAGCCTGACCCGGTAGGTCAGTTGTTAGCACCGGCGTAAACCATGGCCGTTTCTTTTCACAACCGACCAGCATGCGACAACATATTCACGGCATCCCGAGACCAAACCTCGACACAGCCCCTCACGACTCCTCCTTACCTCTAGCATCGTCGAAGCCGATAAACTTGATGGGCTGCGCGTAGTTGACCATGTTGGAGAGGTAGGGGTGCACTAGAGACGTGGCGCCCGTGTACTGGTAACTAAGGAAGGCCTTCTCCTCGGCGGTCATGGGGCGGTCCACCTCGCTACAGGCGGTACCATCCTGAGTGAGACGGGCAGGAGGTTATACGAGCCTCGCCCAGGGCCACTATCCACTTCCGAACGACCACGGACTCTGTAAACTACCGAGCAGGCGCAGGTGGGAAGGTGCCGTGAACTGTGGGAGGTGGCGAGAGAACGGTCATGAAACGGGGAGCAAAGTGCTGGTGCTGCACTGTTCCGAATTTTACAGAGGTTTTAGGGGCATCTAGACTGAATTAGGTTAAATAAAGACAATGCTGGTGGTGATGTGATGAGGTGAGATTGCTACGGAAGTGTAATGGCCCTTTCACACGTAGCAACTTTTCAGTCGCCGGCGACAGCAGCAGTCGCCGGCGACCGCCAGCGACCGCCAGCCAACGATCGTGTGTGACGTAGGTATGACGTAAGCAAGTCGCTGGCGATCGCCGGGCCACGGCCGGGCAATCGCCAGCAACTGGTGACGTCAGATCCGCGTCACAGGCCAGTCGCCGGCGACTCTTCTCGAGCAGCGGACGCCGCCATGACAGTTTTGTCCTTGGTGAGTGGTTTAGGTGATTTGTGATGCATTTTTTTCTCAAATTGGTTGGTGTGGCTACCTTAAATTTGTTGCACAGTAGCATAGGGATTATTATCTTGTAGTTTGCCTGTCGTGAAGCTGTTGTGACTTGAATTTAAGCTTGATTCGACAATATTGGAGGGTTTATGTCATTTGTGGCGCACTTGCCCATGATCACCCATGATTTTTATTTGTGATAAATATGTATTTTTTCATCAAAATTGAATATTTTAATGACATTGAAATTGACACTAGTTTCATAAGGTAATGAAAACTTGCTTGTTGTGTCACAAGAACATTGTTTACATTCAGTATCAGTGCCCTTGAGGACAAAGTGCCTACCCATCAGTCAGCTATTTGCCTACCTATTCGTGCGACACAGGAAATATTTGATATAGAGGATTCTTCATGGCTCCGAGTGGAAGATAAGGATATCTTTTCCAAGCGGGTTACTGAAAAACCGAGCGACGAAGGAGCGAGGTTTTTCTGTAACACGCGAGGAAAAGATATCCGATCTTCCACGAGTGAGCCATGAGGAATCCTATATCTTTCTATGTTGAGGTTTATTCTTAATAAATTAAATATTATATTTAAATGCATTCATCTATGTAAAATAGATTCAGAGTAGTTTGTTCTTATTTCATAAGTTTCATCCATGAACAACCATTAAAAATGTCGTTCGGTTATTGACCCATCATTACATGAACTCTTGATTTTTCGCTATGAACCCTCGAGACTTTATCTTTGCATCTCAGAGGAGTGCGAGATAGAAATATCCCTGCACTGTAGACCCAATGGCAAATAAACCTCAACTAGAAAGATAGCAACAAAATATTATATTGCTGCTCATTAATTAGCATGATCAAAATCAAACAGGTAGCTTTGCAATTTTGTTATTGTTTCTGCTGGAGTTTGCCTTGGTACCATGGATAAACAACCCAGGCCAAACTTAATCCGCATTGGGTTCGCATGTGTGGGCGTGCTCACATGGCAAATGATAATCCATGTCTTATTAGTACATAAATAATTGCAGTATGCACAGTAGGTGGTAGGTATGTCATGTATTTTGGCAAGGTATTAGGTGGTATGTATTTTGGCAAGGTATTAGGTGGTATGTATTTTGGCCCTGGAGCTGTTTCCTATTCATTGCAGCAATGCTGCCGGCATGGCATATGTGTACCATGCGCACACAAGCTCCACCAATGTAAAAATGTCATTTTCACACAAAACTCATAATTGGAGGAAGGTAGAGCAGACCAAGAATAAGCGGGCATTTGCTGCAGTGTGGAAAAAGTCACTAGAGGCTTGATACTTTTTTTTACATGCAGCAGCCTGGAGATGTCCACAGAGGCATGCCTGAGGATGTCCACAGAGGTGGATCCAGGCAATAGTTTTTTACAATCTTCTCCCCTTGTGCCCGCTGTGTGTTGTGCTGACTGCTTGTCCCCCTTCTGGTGGTGCCTAGACTTGCCTCTGCATATCTCCCCAGGCTGCTGCATAATGTCTAAAAAAACCCTCAAGCCTCTAGTGACTTTAATCACTCCAGTCTCTACAGCATATGCCCACTCATGCTACAGCTGCCTTAACAATACCAAAATTAGTAACAATGGTCTCATAACCATATTCAGTAGGAAATGAATTACCTAGAAAATTATATTAAAAAATACACTTGCTTTCAAAAAGAATGAGCACTGCCTTAAAATGCTAGGTGTGAAATAATGCTAGGTTTCTGAACCACAAATTCCAATTCTGTGTCACTGAATACTGATTGCCAATTGTGCAAGACAAAAAGCGTCAACAATGCTACATCAAGGATAATGATGTTAAGATAGTTCTCATTTTAGCCTGAAGTGTAAAAACCAAACCTAACCTGATTTGGGTATCTGGGTAAACCAAGCCTAACCTGATTTGGATATTTGGGTAGTTTTTATGATGCTAAGCAATAGCCTATTCCAGGCTTCCTAATTTGCAGAGCTTTTGGTTAAAAAAATGATTTTTAAAAATGTATTTGAAGTATGTTCTGACATGTCCGCCCTCTGTGCCTGGCAGACAAGTCACAGCGTTACCTGATGAGTCAAGAGGTTCTGTACCTGATGTACCTGATCAAGAGTACCTGATGATTCTGCAACACCACCTGATGGCCAACTCGACGGCATTGCTGACCCGAAAAGGAGTCTAGCAGCTGAATGTTCAACTTCTGCCACTGCACTGTTGACTCTGCCTAGAGACAGCATCTGCACCACGGCCCACAGACGATCTTCCGTGGGACGGTGTGCTGCGCACCAGTCACCACACTGACGGCGTTCACCTGTTTGCTGCACAACTTTCTGTGAGGTCAGGAGATCGACACTGACGGCCCCGGACGGTGTGCTCTGATTGCGCCGAGTGTGCTCCCTCGTGTCCGGGCCTTGATGCCAATACCGCACGCGAGGCGGCGCGCGTCCGCCAAGCCCTCACATACTGCGTCCAAGGTGCAGGTGGTGTTCGGTGACAGTGTGCAGCTTCTGCCGGCCCCGTGGACGGCACCGCGTGTGACCATGGCATGTGCATTCGATTTTCGGACATAAGTGCAGTGAATTCATTTGTCATTTTGCTTCTGAATGCTGTCGCCGCTCGGTAGGGTCGATTCTGCCAGAGTAAAGAGGTCGCCACGATCGGCGCCGGTGCGGCAAGGAGCAAGGCACTCAGCAATCGGCTGCCGGGAGGTGGCGGCGGCGGCGGCGGCTGACGACTCGGGCCTCGAAAATCCTGTCGTGTGCGTTGCTGGCTATTATGCGTTGTTGGTGTGCGCTGTTTTGCAAGGCCTTTGGAGCGGCATGTCGAGTTTTGAGTTTTGGACGAGGGAGCCTTGGTGTTTTGTTGGTCTATTTTCGATAAAAACGGTCATGAAGAGTGAGCTGTGTCCAGGCTGATTTTAAGATTTCTGTCACAGTATTGTCACCTTTGACCTAGGCTTGTGTCTTCTTGGGTATCGGCATATTGTGCCACCGTCCTTGCCCCGTGTCCGCGCGTGCTGCATTTTTATGTGGTCGCGCGTATGGTGTCATATACTGTCACCTCGCCATGTTTAGTGATATCCACTGTGTGGAAAAATGCATTTTGTTAAAAGGGGGGGGGTACACTTGTGTTCCCCAATCCAGCGCTTTAGATAATACAGCATCTGTTTTTGACATAATGAAAGCCTGTGTTTTATGTGGGTGGTAGGCTTCGCCGTTCCTCAGGTCCGTTTCTGGCATTTGAATTTCTGCTACATTTCTAGAATGCCTTCTTTCTGTTTTTCACATACAAAGCACGGTTCAAATGTGTGACCACAAATCACTGTGATTGTCCCATGCTTACCACCAACCATTCCTTCAATGCTAATGTCGTTACAGCGAAGTTATTCATTTATTGAGAACAGGGTTGTAGTTGAATAAACAAGACAGGTGAGCAAAATCTGCAGCACTCGTAGTCTTGGCTGATGCGTTAGGAAAAATGGAGGAACTGCAAGTACACATCACTTTTCAGTTTTATGCTTGAGTGCATTGAATTCCAATGTAGAAGAATCGCAGTTTGATTGTATTTTCATTGATATTATGTATTGTTTCAATAATAGATCTAATAAATATTATTCCAATATTACCTAGACGGTAGTTATCATCCTGCAAAACATGTCCAAATATTTAGTACCTTGAATAATGCAGTAAAATAAGCTGCGCCGCTGCATGTATCAGCAGCGCAATATCTGGTGCCAACTCAAGGTCAAGCGGGTCACGTGACAGTTGAGCGGCGGCTGGCTAGAACAGTCGCCGGCGACTTCAAAATGTTGGAAAAATTGAACTTTCTCGGCAACGCCGACAACTCTTCAATGATTGGCTGACACGACTGCTACGTCACACCCCGGCGACTGGTCAGCTGATATCGACAACTGCGGAGTTGCCGGCGACTGACCCCGGTCGCTGGCGATCGCCGGCGACTGACCCCGGTCGCTGGCGATCGCCGGCGACAGTTGCCGTCGCCGGCGACCGGAAAAGTTGCTACGTGTGAAAGGGCCATAATGCGAACATCGTTACATCGGTGTAATACGTACTGTGATTGGCAATGAAATGGCATGTTAACGTATTATAATTTATAATAATTGGTCTTCGTATTAATAGGTTTCGAGTAAAACTTCGCATGAAGTTTCATTTGATTTTAGAACTTTTAAAAGCGTGTCACACGGAAAATTGGAATGTTTCTGTGCAATCATGACTTTAGTACGAATTGAAGACGACTTTTTCGCACTCAGTAGTCCTCAATGACTGTTGGAAAGTCGAACTTCTTCGATTTGCAAACAAAGGTTGTAAGTTTACTTGACTTGTGTTAAAACTGACACCTGTCATTACCACAAAAGGATCTAAGGACAGCGAATCACGATTATTTTTCGTCTGACTGAAACATACAAACTACATTCCAGCTGTGCACTTGTCAATCTTCTGCACTAAGACCCACCGTTCCCTCACCTTAGTTTCTGTCGGCGCTGCGGACGCATCCTCTTTGACGTCATCAACAATGGTCAGCTGGCCTTTCATGTAGAGCTCGAGCTCCTGTTTTTCCACCTCCGGCTTGAGTCGTTTGTTCTTGATCAGGATCTTGCGCCGCAGCTGGTTGGGACTTGGTAACGGGGCTCCGGGCTCCAGCTGAAACAAAGAGAAACGTCAGCGTCAAGTAAGGGTCACATTTATAGTACCTACCTATAGAGCCTATAGATTCTATGGAGCCTTGGTACCTACATTTTATTGCTTGTGGTGATTATGATATGTGGTACGACTTACAAACGCATCTACGCTATAATGCCTTTGGAAATTGGATACAATTATAACAGCCAAAGCTGCCGGATGTTGTAATAAATAAGACATCGTGATCCGCTGGTGTTTGGTATGTCACATATATCATTGCTAACTCCTTCGTAAATTTACGACAGTACTGTATACTTACTTCCGCCATAAATTTGACGAATTTACTGACATCATCGCAATGTTCAGAGGGCAAAGGACCAAATAAAACACAATATCTCGTACACGTCCAAACTTCATCAAACTTATCCCTGTCTGAAAATTATATCCATGATTATGAATGTAGATCACAACAAAAAATAAGTAAATGACCTCTGTTCACTTTTAATATTTTTCGTTTTATCCTGCAGCAGCGATTCACTTACCGGACAGTCGGGCAGCGGCTCTTTGAGCAGTAAATCGCCGAATATCTCGTCACAGTACTTGGCCATCTTGAGCTGCTGGGCTTTGCAGCAGTGGTTCTCGAATGAGAGGATGATAGGGTAGTCGGATGTCACAAACGCACAGTCTCGGATGGCGTAAATAACGTCCTGAAAATAGATAGAGTTAAAATAAACCACGCGACGCGTTGACATAGAACACGCTGCTAAATTAGGTTCACTCAGTTCGGTAGGATCCGAGCTGTATTGATATATGTAGGTACGCAGGTGGTTCATTATACTTTATAGCACATATGGGCAATGGGTTACGCGGCACGCGGCATTACGCATTACGCGGCATTACGCGGCACAGAGGAGAGCGTCATCGCTTGTTTTGAACGTGATCTTAGAACTCATGTCATTATTGCGTGATGTGATACTTATTAGAACATTCCAAGTAAACTCAAATTGGAACGCAACGCCTGCTCTAGGGATTGTGATGGCTGTAATTATCCATGCACTAGCTGCATGAAAAAAAAAAACGGGAGCAATTGTTCGTGCACTATTCGAGAAAACAATGTACTGCCCATAATCCGCTCGTCTATAACACACTTCTTCGATCGACAGTTTCCCCGCAAACCCTTAGCCCTCACCTTGAAGAGGATGTCTGTGCACATGGCCTTTCCGTGTGTGATGATGGGCTCTTCGTCTTCTCCTTTTCCGTCCCAACAGTCCAGCTCCACACACCTGTCAAACGAGAAATTAAAACATGACATGAGTGTGTTGCGAATGCTCACACGTAAAACCATCAACCTTAGCGCGAACTGCAATTGTTTAGAAGGGTCGTTTGACGTTCACTCGATTCCCCTTTGTGTATGTGTGGCTGCTGACATGCACGAAGATCGTTCCATTTGTCAATGTCAGGTTGGCGAAAAATTGCGCGCAGACATGCAAACATTCTGCGCTATTTGGACGGGTGTAGTGAAGTGCTGCTGGACCTGCTGTCCGTGAGTACCATATTCTTTCAGTCGTCATTTATCATTTAGTAACGTCATGCTGCATGAAATGATAGCGATTCCAATTGTGAAATAAATTTTTAAAACCACTTACTGTAAGTTGTCATAGACAAATGGATAATGACATACTTGCATGCATTGCAGTTGTGCCCTACTCTGTCTGAATATTTATTCCTATAGAAAATTAACCTTACTTCGTTTCCGTAAAAGCTTGCTGGATATAGGATCCGTTCATTACGTTACGTGCCAGCCTGCTGTCCTGTTATTCTCACCTACAGCCGGCTAGCAGGACCTGTCTGTACATCTCCACGGAGCTCTTGCCTCCGAACTGTCGGCCCGACAGGTAGGTGTTGTGGGACGAGTTGATATAGTAGTGACTCATGGGCTGGTCCATGTCCTGGTAAATGTCCAGCCGGTCCAGGAACACGGGCGCGTTGTCGTCCGACATCAGGAACCGTGTGAAACCCTCCTTGGAGAACCGCTCTGTGGAGGTCGAGGTGTTCAGCGTTCTCAGCCGTAGAAAAATTATTAGAACCGATGCAATGACTACCGAAGAACCGACAGCCGCTCTATCACTACGTTTCCATGACATGTCTAAATCGATTAGCGAAATTTCACATGCGTTTTTCTCGGAAACTATTTACCTTATGCACAAAATGAGCGTATATATGGTTTTAGCTAGCACCTAATCCTATATTAACATTTTTAAATTATGCCTTAATGCTATGATGGAGCAAATCCATTTTTCAAAATCGGCTTAACTTGTGCCATGGAAACGTAGCCTATATTGCAAAATAAACCTGAAGACTTGAAAAGATAATAATACGGGAGCTTGTGGAAAGGTATTGGATCAATGCAAAGATAATGGAACACTGCTTTTTTCAGAGCGCATGTAAGACCTATATCGGTGTACAATTAACGGTGGTCCATTGGGTGGTCATGGTGTCTCGTCTCATCAGCACGGGTTGTCCTATGTCCATTTCCGGATCGTTTTTATTTTTCTCCGTCGTTTATCTTTCCCCAGACATGCGGGACTATCATCCGTGACGGAAACCCGCTCTGACTGATAAAGCCTTCGGATGGACGGCCGGGTTGTTTTTCCATTTCCCGTGAACAATAGGACTGATAGATGCAACGAAAACCCAGTGATGAAGATATCTGGGCTCGCGGTAGTGCAAACATTGTTTGAGTGGTTTTCCAGAAGACCAACATTTAAATGCATTGATCCATGAATAGAAAACTCATTGAGAAAGTTGGGCGTAAAACTATGCTTACGATCAGTGATCACTTCCTCAGTTTAAAAACATGTCTAGGGATCACAAGAGAGCATTTTATATTCGCGACTGGCTTTTCCCGAGCGACCCGTCTCTCAGAACATCAAGTAAAAAGGCTCCTGCGGTAATGCTGCACCGCAAGGCACTGATGTCTTGCGGCTCAGTGTCTTGCGGCTACAGGCCCATCCATTTGTGAGGCCGCGGATTTACTCCGAATCACTCTGACTGCATCAACGAGAGCAGCTACTAAGAAAAGAGGTGCATTATTCTCTACTAAATAGTCGGAATTCCTCGAGGATAGTAAGGAATACAATAAGCGACCTCTGACTCTTGCGTCACATCTGCTTACTTTGATTGCGGTTCTGCTCATCCTGTTCGTATGTGCAGATGATCTCCAGCGACCTTTTCTCGTCGTAGAGCGGGTACAGGATCTCATTTAGCCGCGGATCTCGCTGACAGTCGTTCATAAAGTTGATGAACTGGCCCAGTTCGATGGTCTCGGCCTTGCCCTCTGTTCTGAAAGCCGGCACACGAGTTAGAGAAGCAGTGCGGGAGCTCAGGCCGCCAAACTAACCCCAATGTGATTTTAAAAAGTTTTCTTTGATCCCGCCTGTGTAAAGTTTCCGGTCCTTGATGCGTAACTCTGTTGAGCATACTTACATTGACTGAAATAGCTCCTCGATGTCGTTTCTGGGACATATTTTGTGATATAAACAATAGAATTTGTCGAATGTGAACTCCGCCGGCTCGATGACATCATTCTGAAATAATAAAAGGCATAAAGTATTATTTAAGTATATCGCAGTAACCAATTTCATATTCTCATTATTCAATTAACAAAAGCACAGAGTAGATCCGATCGTCAGAAATCGAATGTTATTCATATTTCGGCAGGAATACTCTGGTATGACATTTGCATCCCTAACGACACAAATAGCAGGTCCAGATGTTGCATATCATTCGGCACAGCTGCTCGCTCTCATCAACTGACACCATCGCTCTCAGAGCAAGCCTATAGTCTCCCCGTCAAGACAGACTGCTGTCGGCGACAGTCACCTTTTCACACGGCAGACCAAGCTCGCCCAGACACTGATAGACGAGCTTCTCAGTCTTGCCCGAGGCAAATGTCCTCGCGATGTTTTTCACGGTGATCTTCCCATCTTGGTCCACTGAGAAACAGAGCCTCATCCAGCTGCCAGCACGAGGACGATGTTAGTGGGGCGCTTGGTAACGGAGGGGGGCGTCAATCGGGGGGGGGGGGGGCTTTGAGACTCTGGTCAGTTGTACACAAACACTGGCTCGGTCGGAGTACCGATTAGAGCGACGGAAGCGTGCTGCCCTGGGGGCATATTTTGCCGTCGTTGACCTCCGTGTGCACACATTGATCGAAAAGGTCGATTGCTGTCAGGGCACGCTCACTCAGGGCTGCACGGGCGCTTCAGCACACTAACTGAGCGGAACTTTGACCCTTACGAGCCGAGCGTACGGCGAAGCTCAACAAAACAGGCCCTCTGAGACAGCACAACTCGGTGAAAAACATGACATTTAAATGCAGGCACAGCCGGTACTGGCTACACAACTTCGAAATAAACGCGGCAAACTGCCTGCACGTGCCGCTGCAGGGGCGAATGGGATCCAGGGACGAAATGCGAGCAGTCTGCGATTCTACGACACAACATGCCATCAGAACAGATTGCAGCACTAAGAAGATACAGAGGAGAAAATGCAGAATGTTAATGAAAGGAGCAACGAGCAGCATATGACTGAGAAGTCAGAATCGCGCATCTGCAATTCACATTTCATATATAGTGTTTTTTTTAGGTGATTAACTGCAATGGTGTCCCCATAATATAAATCATTTTATTGGAGCCATGCTGCTCCTAAAATTGTAATACAGTTTGATTAATGCGGAAGAATTTGCGTAGGTATCGTCTCTCTTGAAAGTATCGCTGTCGCTCCCTGGTTTGAGAGCCCTTGGCTTTTGAGGGTTTGCCGCCTGGGCGGCCCGTACCGTTTTCATGGTTTCACGGATAGACCCTCCAAAGCCAGAGGCTTTCAAACCAGGGAGCGATAGCGATCCCTTCGTGTAGCTATATGTACTTTCAAGAGAGACCTACATAACTGTGTCACCTTAGATTTATATAGCGCCCGGTTAGACAACCATAGAAAATTTTGAAATGTTGGTTTGCGCTTTCCTTTATCATTAGCTTAAAGTTAGGTACTTACATTATTCCGCTACATGCGCTACATTAGGCAAGCGTCGGAGCGGAAATTGATGCATCACGATTTAGCACTCTCTTGTTTATGACTAGCCGCTCCGCGCCCCAGGTCATAAATATCTAATAACACCCACAGGAGGTTCCCCTAATCGGGCGCTGCACGGGGCGCGGAGCCTCGATCCCAAGTCTGGAGTCATCGAAGGATGGCCGCAGTCAGCCGCCATGATCCGCTCGCGAGTGATTACCCTTGGGGTGTGCGGGGTCCGCGCTAATAGCGTGACCGTCATCCAGCTACACGGTAATGGATGTTGGAAGTCGATAGATGGTGTCTGGTCGACAGTAGCACAGCGCTAGGATAGCCTTGGGGCAGTGAAGTCTGGTTGATACTGGACGAATCGAATCGACCTGGCTGTCTCAATATGCGGAAAGTGCAGCGTCGGATTGGGCACAGCCTGATGGCTAAATGGAATTTTGCTTTGGGGATTACGATGCCAAAATACTTCACTTGCGAGTGTTGCGTGCAAGGCACTTATAGCTGTCGTGGATTTTCCATATCGTGCATTGTGAGAACGTAGCCGTAACGGGAGTGAATAATTGCATTCAAAAATGAAAGAATTAATGTTTTGCGCAGTGCTAGCATTTGTATTGTTTGTGATGGTAGTAGGCCCTCTCAAAATAATTGCAGAAATAATACAACATGTAGAGAAGCATGCATGTATTTGTGTTGCATCCTTGCAAAAGTCAGCACCTAAATTCGTTTGTGCTGAAGATCTTTTCAACCCCTGTAGCTGTTTTCTATCATTTTGTATAATTAATAATTTGTTGCCGGCTGTGCTTATTTATTTGCTAGGTAGTGAAATTTGTGTAAAATTTTCTTCTCATCCATGAAAAGCGTCAACATTTCATATGCGGCTTGTTTGCCCCCACACTTCGTTAGCATTTTAAAAGAGCTTCTAATGGCGTCTCTAGTGTATAACAATTTCACACAACGAAACGGATATTGCTGTTGTAGCCCCAAATTTGCATAAATGCCGTCGGCAGCCAGTAGCTTCCTTCTCTTTATTCACTCTTGGTTTATTTCATAGAAACACTGGGCTGTCAACGGCACGTGACCCTTGGCCAACGTGACCGCAGGTCTGACGGCCCGCGTATGGCTTCCAAGCCCCACAACTTCTCCTGAGACCCCGGCAGCTGCCCTTCGGACCAGCTGTGCAGACGGCCGCCTGAAGGGCTTCTCTGCTTCACTTGTTCCCTGCGCCGTTTGACGGACAATGAGCGAGTCTGCTCATAGATGGCGCCAATAGTGTGCGCCTGGGACCATGCTGTACCGCATTACACATACATTTGCCCAGAAGTCAATACAGAAAAGAAGTGACGAGAACAGATGACTTTTCAAATAGGCACAAGGACACGATGTACTTACATGACATGAAGTGACGAAGACTGAGTGCATGCATAACTACTGACTACAGGTACGTGGTAAACAATATGGTATGAGCACTATCTGCGGATTGACTCGTGTGTAGTGAATAGACAGGAGTCAAACTACCAACATGTTAGCGCGGTGCACAAGGTGAATCCCGAGTACCATAATTCCTTCCACCGGAGGTGTCTCTGCTAATAACAAAGAACCAATTGATTGGTAATCTTTCAACAAATGACTGCTACCTAATTTTCGGCGCTGCAAGGAAAATTGACACAAGTGATAACGATTAGCCAAACACTCCCCGTGATCAAATGTGCTGACTGCATAAGCTACTGTGCGTATCAGAAGAATATCGTGAGACTCAATACGGTCCATCCCTTTCAACAACCAACTCACTGTTTTTCCAGCACTGTTCGCACGCAGACGTTGTTCATTTTACTATTGTTTGTAATTGTGCGCAGACCTTGTTGCCAAATCTGTGTAAGATTAGAGGTGGCTGTGTTAGCTGGGTAGGGAGCTAGCCAGAAATAAGCATCTTGTCCACCAAAACGTTGCATTGTTTTTGTGCATGTTATAGTTGTGCAAATTTAAGCAGGCTGGTTTAAAGTAACTCGGTATTGAACGGAGAATACATAGTTTAGGTTCGAAATAGCGTTGTTTTTGTTTCCATACTTGAGGCAGGGAAAGTCCAGCTAATTACATATCTGGCTAATTTGGGCATTATTTATGTTAGAAACTTTGATATGTGGTTTGTGGAGCTGAACCTAAGCTTTAAGCTGATTGTCATATAGAAGTATAATGTGTGAATATTTTTCATGCATCAAATTGCATGCATAATATACATTTTTCTCTGTTCAGAAATCACTCCCGTAGCACACGACCAATTCCGAAATGCACCGGCTATGTAAGAAACAACGCATTCGCGAAGCAAGTCAGGCATGTCAAAACTGCTCGATCACTATCCCGTCAAAAGGCTCAGAAAAGTAATGCATAAACCGCATTGACAGTGTCCTGAAGACGGGCGAAGAAGAAAGTCAATGTAAAGCTATGGTTAAAGAAAAAAAAAAGCCTCTCTGTAAACCAGCACACATTGCAAGAAACCCATCCGCATGCATGCAGTTGCACGTTGCAAATGGACAGACTGACCCGAAGGAAACGAGTAAAGAAGAGAGCAGTACTTGATGTCGGGGACTTACTGTTTGATGAGACATGTCATGGGGCACACATTATTGGCTTTGGTGTTATGTGTGATGGTGCGAAGGCCCGACAACCACACCTGTGTGGGCAGTCATGACAGAATGTTATGACGGGACTGCGGCAACGCTGAGTACTTATTCATTATTAAATCGACCTGATGTACTGTACAAAACGCCTTACCTATAACTAATAGGCGTCTGTCTGAATCAGTCAAAATAATAAAAAATAATATTAGAATCTCTCTGATGTTGATATATGAAATCTAAAAACCACAAGACCACGCAAGATCTCTATAGAATGTCTATGCCTACTAAACAGTCACGACAGTCGATGCTGCTTTGATGGCTTCGTCTAGCCGGCCGTTGTTGACGTATGGAGGCACAGCGTGAGATGAGAGCATGGGTATTTTCTCTTAATATTTCTGGAATTTTTCATACAGTTATCTGGTTAATTTATCTTACATTCCTGTCTGGGAATATGGAATTAACGTAATTATCTGTAGCTTATTTTATAGCACATATCAATATTTGTCGGTGAAAACTGAGTTTGCATAGCGTATACCTAGGTCAAAGTTTTTTATGACTAAGTTTTTATTACCTTGTTTTTTTTTTACATTCCGTGTGTAACGAAATTAGTTAAAACTTTATCAAAGTTGACTTTCCTTGACGGTTTTGATGTCTGTTATTCCTCGACATCTTGGCGGTTTTCACATCAACCAGCATCATGAAGCATCATGAAACTTGGCGATTTGCATCAGGCATCAAGTACGCGTTATACCTTTGCCTCTGAAGTCTGATGATGTTTTTACAACCCCGAACAAAATATAAAGGTCCCGTAATTAGGCGTTTGTACGTCCAAGACCACATACCTTGGCGGTTTCGACGTCAGGCAGGATGACGTGCTGTAGGTTGATGTTGACCATGTCGGTTCCACTGCAGATGCTGAGCGACTTGGCCTCCAGGTCAGCACCATGACGTGCCTGTAGCTGGTTCAGCAACTTCGGATCCTGAAGAACGCACAGTTGGTGTTGCAGTAACACAGTGGCATGTGTCGATATGACAAAATGTGAACTATAGTTGAGATCAGCGTACGACTTTTGTTCATTTAACATTGAAGTCATAGAGGTTATGCCAATTATGCCAACACAAATGTGCCTAACTTTTTCCTTTCTGTTTTTTTCCTGTTGCGATCTGAATGCATAACGCCTAAAGTAGACTTAGTGAAAGGTGTTACAATTCGGTAACACCAAAATGCTGAGCGCCCAATTAGATTCAACACATTAACCATGCACGATTCAGCGTAATGCGGAAATCTGAGCCTCAAGAGTCCAAGACATTGACACCATGTCTCCAATGACTCGCCCGGTAGACTGCATAGCGGAACATGAAATAGTGCTTCCTAGATATACTGAGATCATAATCCTGTTCCATTATTCATGAAGTCGTCCATCTAGCTTGCCTTCCGATGCATGTGATGCTTAATCCGCCCAAACTAAATCCATCACAGATTTACTGCTGCTTCCGAAATATGTCGTGTTTCATCAGCTAGTGAACTTCTCTTTCATCTATAGCGTCAACTCCACACTGCCAATAAACAACATCAATTTCGCCACATGCCGAGACCGCTATCCCGCGCCTGTCACGCCCCGTCGACGGATGACGTATGATGTCATCTAGCGTGTCAGATGTGACAGGTCATCAGCCACGTGTGACCGCCCGGCTGAGGTGCCAAACCACCGGCGAGGGGGAAGGAAGCTGGGATGACGGGTAGTCTCAGGAGTGGGAGCGATAGATGGGTATGGGAAGGGGGTACGGCGAGCTGGTAGAGTGCGTGGAATAATGGCAGGAAGGGGAGGACAAAAAAAAATTATACCTAAGCCATCCTTAGAAGGCGCAGTAACTTTGTTACCTACATACTCTAACTGTGCGAGGCGAATATATTCGCTAGGTAAGGATTACGCCAATATGACCCATCCCATCACCCTACTCGAAGCCTTGCCGCCGCCACCCAGTGCCCCAGTTCGTTGCCCCCATTTCGTTTACCCCAGCTTGTGTTTTTTTCCTGTTTGTGCTCGCCCTCCCCCCATTTTGTGTTTGCCCCCGGTTTGTGCTGGTCCCCGATTTGTGTTCGCCGTCAGTTTGTGTTTGCCCCCGACCGATTATCGCCGCTGCCAGTGAACCGGTAGGTGTTTGCCACCAGTACGTTTTCTCCCCCGGTTTGTGTTTGCCATCAGTACGTTTTCTCCCCCGGTTTGTGTGCCCCCCGGTTTGCGTTTGCCCCCCAACCGATGGTGGCCGCTGCCAGATTGTGTCCAGGTTGTGTTTTTCCCGGTTTTCGTTTGCACCCGACCGATGGTGGCCGCTGCCACTTTGTGCCCCGGTTTGTGTTTGCCCCCCCCCCCCCGGCTTGTGTTTGCCCCCGGCTTTTGTTTGCTGTCGGCCGCTGGTGGCCGTTGCCCCACTCACCCGCGGGAGGCCGCCAGCTCGAATGTCGTTCACTTGGCAGAGCTCCAGCAGGTCGGCCTCCTGGTGACGGTGGGGGAGCGACCGGTCAGTCCCGGCACCACCCGACCGGTCAGTCCCGGCACCACCCGCCCGGTCAGTCCCGGCACCACAAAGGCACAAGCACAGTCAGACTCTCGGACTTGGCACCACTGACTGATGACTGGTGAGGGTTGACACTACTGACCGGTCAACCTCGGCACACCTCATATTCGTCACCAAAACAGACCCGGTCGGTGTCTCGGCACCACAAAGGCACATACACAGTCAGACTCTCAGTCTCTGCACCACTGGCCGGTCAGTCTCGGTACCACAAACACTGTCAGACTCTTAGATACGGCACTTCAGGTCCGGCCAGACTTGGCTGGTCAAGCCCGGTCAGTCTCACACAAACTCGGTCAGTCTCGGCACCACTCTCACGGTCAGACTCTCAGACTCAGTACCACCCCCTCAGTCGGACTCGATAACGCTCATAATCGGCACCATACCGGCTCAGTTGGACTGATCAGGTGAACACATCCCCCGTGGTTGAAATCAGCAAACGCAGTCAACAGCAGACATGTGCTTGGATCCGAGAGCTGGATCTATGATCTCAGTGGATCTCTCGACAAAATAGAGGGGTTGGATCTATGATCCGAGTGGATCTCTCGACAAAATTCAGGGGTTGGATCTATGATCTGAATGGATCTCTCGACAAAATTTAGGGGTCAGATCTATGATCTCTGTGGATCCAGCGGGCTAAAATTTGTGGAGGACCTATGATCTGTATGGATCTCACGACAACATGTAGCCAATGAAACCCTTATCCTACATAATTGTACACCTTACAGTGCAATACAATTGAGAATTATCACTTGTGGACATGGTTATTGGTTAAGACCACTTGTGATCATTAGGTATCATCATTAAATTTGAATTTAAATAAACAACATTTGTACTACATTTAAAATAAACCAAGAACATGCATATTGCTACTTTTTGTGACCAATTGTAACTTTTTCATGACAGCACTGATGACAATCTTATCAACAAGCTACAGCCACTTTAATTCAAAGAACAAACAGTACAGACAGATGCAGTGGCAGCAGGGCACTGCAGATTTTCATTTTGGTCCCATTCTTTCTGCAACGCCAGTAGGGCTAATGCTAAAATGCCAAACTCTATGGGGGGCACTGTACCCTGGTGCCACACCCCCCTCCCTGTTCTGCCGCCTATGGACAGATGTTAGGAAATCAAACCTGGAAGCCAAATAGGTCAGTTTTGTTAAAAATAATCCAGCAATCCACTTCTGCCAGGTATGAAATCCCAATCCAGAATGTTCATATGAGCTATTAGTATGTGCAACACAATTTCGATTTAGTAAGAATAGCAACCAACCTCGAATACTTTCCTAATAAAATTACAAGTTCAAAAATGGCATCAACTTCTTCAGATTACCTACTTTTGGCCACTTTTGGCATCCTGCCAGCTGCCACGTGTGGTGCCATGCTGTGCTTTTGTTATGAGAGAGCCTCCCAAAAAAAGACAAACGAAATTCACAGCTCACGTTTTGGTAATATGGTTTTATTACGTCATTATCGTTTGACCAATGAAAAATCTTAATTTGACCAAGACAGTAATGATTCCAAGAGATTCCCCGTAATAGGCCCTCTAAACTAATGACGTAAGATATTGTTATTCTTTTGAAAAGTGAATAAAATTAAGATGCAAGGCGCACACCGCTCAGGGCCATATAATACCGTTTCAGCTTACGTTTACGTCATTAAATTCAACGCTACAAAGATGATATTAACAAACGATTGTATCGTAAAATCATGTGAGGCAGAAAAAATGAACATTCTTTAAAAAAAAAGCTCCAGACTTTTGAATTTCCAGTTTGATTTTTTATTTATCTTCATTATACTCGAAGGTAAAACGCCTAGCTCATTTGTTATTTGAAATGACGTCACGAGTTCAATTTAGATACTGAATAATCATTTTACGGTAAATATCCAAGGCCATTACAATCAGACATGGGCATGGATCCCAGACGACCAAAGACGAAAATCGAGATGACCACTAGATTAGTGGTCTTTAAGCGTGTAATTATTGTGGAAAACATGGCTAACAGATGCCTCTCAACAAACCAGCTATTTTGCAATCCCTCAGAGCTTAGAGTTTTGAGAAAATCCCTCAAGATCCATCTCGGATCCATGATCGCGAGCCATGGATCCGAGATGGATCTTGAGGGATTTTCTCTGAACTGTTAGCTCTGAAGGAATGCAAAATAGTTGGTTCACTGAGAGGCTTCTATCAGCCATGTTTTCCACCATAATTTCATGCTTGAAGACCATCAATCTAATGGCCATCTCGATTTTCGTGATTGGTTGTCTGGGATCCGTGCCCATGTCTGATTACAATTGATATTTCGCTTCCCATCGCTTCCGCAGGCTGTTGAATATTTTTATACTTTTGTTTATATCTCAGTTTATTTTATCAAATATTTCTTTCAATAGATTGAAATACCTTTACCTAACCAAGCCACGTGTGTCAGTATCATCTTTTATTGTTTATCAATCAATTGTGGTAGCTGGAAACTGGAAAGCCTCATGGTTGTCTAATGCAAGATCAATGAGATTGTCTTATCAATATCATTATGTAGATTCTAACATGAATTGTGATGTGGTAGGTACCTAGTTATGTATTGTTCATTAGTCATTACTTTGACTTACCTCTATGTTAATTGTTAATGCAAACTTTTCTGTTGGTATGTGAACGGTGAACAATCTTCATGTCACTCAATTCTCTCAAGTTGTGACCGTCATGAGCCTCCTTTATTTTGTATTCTGTATAATGTAACTGGATGCCTTTACTAATATGGTCTTTGTATAAGATTGTTTGTTTCTAACCATACTTTGGTATTCATAACTTCTTATGAAAGAAAGTTGTTAACATTTTGAGCACCTATGTATGAGCTATGATCCCAATGGATCTCACGACAAAATTGGGGAGCCAGATCTATGATCCGAGTGGATCTAGCGACAAAATTGAAGGGTCAGATCTATGATCCCAGTAGATCTCTCGACAAAATTGAGGGGTTGGATCTATGATCTGAATGGATCTCGGATCGGGATCCATGGGATCGGATCTCAGATCCATTTTTCCGGATCCAAGCACATGTCTGGTCAACAGCAGTGTCCAACGCTTTACTAAAAAGGCGCAATAAAACTCAACATGTTTGTTTGTGGTGGAAACGTGTTTGCTTCAATGCTTTTAGAACAATGAAAGACAAAATGTGTGATAATAAACAAACATACCTAGGCACAAATAATTGTATTGTATTTTCATGCATAGATAAAAGAAGTGTTATCCGACGGCTATAGCTGAAGAGACGCTACAATATCGGGATATTTTTTACCTCTGGGTATATGGACTATTGGAGACAGAACTCAATACCGATCAGATGGAAATCCATGACAATAGATTGAGCGCCCGCGCGGAATGCCAATCTACTATTATAAATCTTAAAAAGTCCGCCGCCGCCCACGCCCACGCCGCCGTCGGGGTTACTCCCTAAAAGGCTTATTGCGGCGCCGTCGAATGACGCAGGAGGGTGAAATTTTCACGACTCGTGGGTCACGTCATTCAACAGGTCGTATTAAATTTTGGGCACGATGCGGCCGGGGGTGCGCCCGTGGCGCGTGCTCATGTGCGCCATAGGGTTAGCATTAGAATCGGCAAAAACAGGCTATTGCTCGGGAACGGTAAGGGCTACGGGGGCGAAATTTTCACGCCAAGTCGAGCACGGGCACTCATTTGTCGTATTAAATTCTTGAGGGGGTGGGTTCAGCGGTGTGCACGTGATGGGGCCGCGACCGGCGCCGAGCAGAGGGCACGTGCTTTAGGCTCAGTTGTTCGCTTAAAAACTGACTGGAAATAATCAGAGCCGGAAGGTCATTGACCTTTGACAACGAATACCGGCGCCGGGCACCCCTCGCCAAGGGGATTCGCCAGTAAATACGATAAATTTGTGTTTGCAATATCTCAGCCGTTTCTGGGCCGATTTAGCTGAAACTTGGACTGTCGGTGGTAGTGTAGGGTAGGGTAGGGTAGGGTAGGGTAGGGTAGGATAGGGTAGGGTAGGGTAGGGTAGGGTATGGGTAGGGGTAGGGTAGGTTAGGGTAGGGTAGGGTAGGGTAGGGGATTGTAGGGTAGGGTAGGGTAGGGTAGGGTAGAGTAGGGTAGGGTAGGGTAGGGGATTGTAGGGTAGGGTAGGGTAGGGGATTGTAGGGTAGGGTAGGGTAGGGTAGGGTAGGGGATTGTAGGGTAGGGTAGGGTAGGGTAGTGTAGGTTAGGGTAGGGTAGGGTAGGGTAGTGTAGGGGTAGGGTAGTGTAGGGTAGTGTAGGGTAGGGTAGGGTAGGGTAGTGTAGGGTAATGTAGGGTAGTGTAGGGGTAGGGTAGGGTAGGGTAGGGTAGGGTAGGGTAGGGTACTACCATACAAAACACTTGAACACCCCGCACCTATCACCAGGGTAGGGTAGGGTAGGGTAGGGTAGGGTAGGGTAGGGTAGGGTAGTGTAAAGGTAGGGTAGGGTAGGGTAGGGTAGGGTAGGAGTAGGGTAGGGTAGGGTAGGGTAAGGGTAGGGTAGGGTAGGGTAGGGTAGGGTGGGGTAGGGTAGGGTAGGGTAGGGTAGTGTAAAGGTAGGGTAGGGTAGTGTAAAGGTAGGGTAGGGTAGTGTAGGAGTAGGGTAGGGTAGAGTAGGGTAGGGTGGGGTAGGGTAGGGTAGGGTAGGGTAGGGTAGGGTAGGGGATTGTAGGGTAGGGTAGGGTAGGGTAGGATAGGGTAGGGTAGGGGATTGTAGGGTAGCGTAGGGTAGGGTAGGGTAGGGGTAGGGTAGGGGTAGGGTAGGGTAGTGTAGGGGTAGGGTAGTGTAGGGGTAGGGTAGGGTAGGGTAGGGTAGGGTAGGGGATTGTAGGGTAGGGTAGGGGATTGTAGGGTAGGGTAGGGTAGGGTAGGGTAGGGTAGGGTAGGTTAGGGTAGGGTACGGTAGGGTAGTGTAGGGGTAGGGTAGGGTAGTGTAGGGTAGGGTAGGGTAGGGTAGGGTATGGTAGGGTAGTATAGGGTAGGGTAGGGTAGGGTAGTGTAGGGTAGTGTAGGGTAGTGTAGGGGTAGGGTAGGGTAGTGTAGGGGTAGGGTAGGGTAGGGTAGGGTAGGGGTAGGTTAGGGTAGGGTAGGGGTAGGTTAGGGTAGGGTAGGGTAGGGTAGGGTACTACCATACCAAACACTTGAACACCCCGCACCTATCACCAACCCTTACAGTTTAATTAAAAACAGCTACCCAAATCTATCCAAATAATACATCTTAAAATACAAGTCAATCACCCAAACTAATGCACCCGTAACATAACATAAATCAAAACATACAGTTATCACGTAAACCTGTACCTCTAGTCTATATTATAAATCCTAAAAAGTCCGCCGCCCACTCCGTCGGGGTTACTCCCAAAAACGGCAATTGCAAAGCCGTCGATTGACGCAGGACGGTGAAATTTTGACGACTCGTGGGTCACGTAAATGAACAGGTCGTATTAAATTTTGGGCACGATGCGGCCGGGGGTGCGCCCGTGGCGCGTGCTCATGTGCGCCATAGGGTTAGCATTAGGGTCGCGACCGGCGCCGAGCAGAGGGCACGTGCTTTAGGCTCAGTTGTTCGCTTAAAAAACTGAGTGGAAATAATCAGAGCCGGCAGGTCATTGACCTTTGACAACGAAGGCCGACACAAGGCACCGCTCGCCAAGAGGATTCGCCAGTAAATACAATTAATTTGTTTTTGCAATATCTCAGCCGTTTCTGGGCCGATTTAGCTGAAACTTGGACTGCCGGTGGTAGTGTAGTGTAGGGTAGGGTAGGGTAGGGTAGGGTAGGGTAGGGTAGGGTAGGGTAGTATAGGGTAGGGTAGGGTAGTAGGGTAGGGTAGGGTAGGGTAGGGTAGGGTAGGGTAGGGTAGGGTAGGGAAGTAAGGTAGGGTAGGATAGGGTAGGGTAGGGTAGGGTAGGGGTAGGGTAGGGGTAGGTTAGGGTAGGGTAGATTAGGGTAGGGGTAGGGTAGGGTAGGGTAGGTTAGGGTAGAGTAGGGTAGGGTAGAATAGGGTAGGGTAGTAGGGTAGGGTAGGGTAGGGTAGGGGGTAGGGTAGGGTAGGGGGTAGGGTAGGGGTAGGGTAGGTTAGGGTAGGGTAGAGTAGGACAGGGTAGGGTAGGGTAGGGTAGGTTAGTAGGGTAGGGTAGGGTAGTAGGGTAGGGTAGGGTAGGGTAGTAGGGTAGGGTAGGGTAGGGTAGGGCAGGGTAGAGTAGAGTTAGGTAGGGTAGGGTAGGGTAGGGTAGGGTAGGGTAGGGGTAGGGTAGGTTAGGGTAGGGTAGAGTAGGACAGGGTAGGGTAGGGTAGGTTAGGGTAGGGTAGAGTAGGGTAGGGTAGTAGGGTAGGGTAGGATAGGGTAGTAGGGTAGGGTAGGATAGGGTAGTAGGGTAGGGTAGTAGGGTAGGGTAGGGTAGGGTAGGGTATGGTAGGGTAGGGCAGGGTAGGGCAGGGTAGGGTAGGGTAGGGGGTAGGGTAGGTTAGGGTAGGGGGTAGGGTAGGATATGGTAGGGTTAGGGTAGGGTTAGGGTTGTGTTCAAAAAGGGCCCAACATACAAAACACTTGAACACCCCGCAACTATGACCATCCCTTACAGTTCAATTAATAACAGCTACCCAAATCTACCCAAATAATACAGCTAAAAATACAAGTCAATAACCCAAACTAATGCACCCGTAACATAACATAAATCAAAACATACAGTTATCGCGTAAACCTGTACCTCTAGTCTATCTATATTATAAATCCTAAAAAGTCCGCCGCCGTCGGGGTTACTCCCTAAAAGGCTTATTACGGCGCCGTCGATTGACGCAGGAGGGTGAAATTTTCACGGCTCGTGGGTCACGTCATTCAACAGGTCGTATTATATTTTGGGCACGATGCGGCCGGGGGTGCGCCCGTGGCGCGTGCTCACGTGGTGTGCCATAGGGTTTACACTAGAATCGGCAACAGACTATTGCTCGGGAACGGTAAGGGCTACGGGGGCGAAATTTTCGCCGTAAGTCGGACGCGTGCACTCATTTGTCGTATTAAATTTTCGACGGTGTGGGTTCAGCGGTGTGCACGTGATAGGGCCGCGACCGGCGCCGAGCAGAACGCACGTGCTGTTAGGCTCAGTTTCTTCGCTTGCAGAACTGAGCGAAATCAGAGCCGGGAGGTCGTTGACCTTTGGCAATGAATACCGACGCCGGGCACCGCTCGCCAAGAGGATTCGCCAGTAAATACAATTAATTTATTTTTGCAATATCTCAGCCGTTTCTGGGCCGATTTAGCTGAAACTTGGACTGTCGGTGGTAGTGTAGGGTAGGGTAGGGTAGGGTAGGGTAGGGTATGGGTATGGGTAGGGTAGGGTAGGTTAGGGTAGGGTATGGGTAGGGGTAGGGTAGGGTAGGTTAGGTTAGGGTAGGGTAGGGGATTGTAGGGTAGGGTAGGGTAGGGTAGAGTAGGGTAGGGTAGGGTAGGGTAGTGTAGGGGTAGAGTAGGGTAGGGTAGGGTAGGGTAGGTTAGGGGTAGGGTAGGGTAGTGTAGAGTTAAGGGTAGGGTAGGGTAGGGTAGGGGTAGGGTAGGATAGGGTAGGGTAGGGTAGGGTAGGGGTAGGGTAGTGTAGGGTAGGGTAGTGTAGGGGTAGGGTAGGGTAGGGTCGGGTCGGGTAGGGTAGGGTAGGGTAGGGTAGAGTAGGGTAGGGTAGGGTAGGGTAGGGTAGGGTAGGGTAGGGTAGGGTAGTATAAGGGTAGGGTAGGGTAGGGTAGGGTACGGTAGGGTAGGGTAGGGTGGGGTAGGGTAGGGTAGGGTAGGGGATTGTAGGGTAGGGTAGGGGATTGTAGGGTAGGGTAGGGTAGGGTAGAGTAGGGTAGGGTAGGGTAGGGTAGGGTAGTGTAGTGTAGGGGTAGGGTAGGGTAGGGTAGGGTAGGGTAGGGGTAGGGGTAGGGGTTGGGGTAGGGGTAGGGTAGGGTAGGGTAGGGTAGGGTATGGTATGGTAGGGTAGGGTAGGTTAGGGTAGAGTAGGGATAGGGGTAGGGTAGGGTAGGGTAGGGTAGGGTTGAATTAAGTAACATCCTAATCTTACAAAGGGCTCGAACAACTCGCATGCATCACCATCATACTTTACAGTTCAATTAAAAGCAGTTACCCAGTTCTTCACAAATAATACCAGCAAGTTTCTACACCCAAACTAATGCATCCGTTAATCATACATATCAAAACATACAGTTATCGCGTAAACCTGTACCTCTAGTATGTCTAAAGCCTGAAACAGACTCTTTCCGCAGTCAGGAAATGGCATGCGAGAGCCTTTTCAAATACATGGAAGCACGCTCGCATCAATCGCACGCACCTCCCGGATGCGATTGCTGCGTGAAGGACTTTAATGTATTTGAATAGGCCCTCGCATGCGATTTCCTGAATACGGAAAGAGTCAGTTTCAGCCTTTAAAATAGTATCCGCGTGTCATCAGACTATGAACTTACATTGCCCTCGCTCTTCCAGTACATGAAGAATCCGTATTCATCCACCCGAAACAGGCATTGTGGCTCGAAGTCGACGTTGTCTTTTTCCTGAAAATTTGACAAAATACGTGTAAGCATGCAAGACGATATGCTCCATGTCATCGCTTTGACTTGTGAGTCCTTATCTTTTTCACCATCACCTAAACTGAAAAGACACGACATAATTACACTTGGATGTTGCACGTCTAAGTATGTGTTCAAAAGTCACTCGATCGGAAATGAAAGCATCATGTACGAGTTCTCCGTAACAATGTAAATGTATCTGGCAAAATTTGCCCCATTACAGCACATAGAGCACTCGTTTGAGCAATAATCATCTCCATAGTTCATTGAGATCAGCGCTCACCACCGCTTGTAGAGCGATTACGACCATTGTCTTGAATTACATCAATGAATAAACCGAGGTGAGTACCCTGTCTGCATAAGCGAGCCTTGTAGTAATGGCTCTACCTTCGCTAATTGCAATGATTAGCTGGACACGAGTACTGTTACAGAGAATATGCATTAGCCCTCACAGCACCGAGCCTTGTAAAAAAAAGATAGCCACGAGCAAGACTCGGACGAGGACCGAGAAGCACAGTTAGATATATATTTTTATTTTTTAATGGTAGATGAGGATGAAATGGTGCACAAATGAAGGTACCCTCTTTTCCTCTGTAGGCTACAACTCTGATGTGCAATTGTCTCTGCCCATGGCTGTCCAAACCTACCTCTGTCCACCTGTCGAGCACACAGCCCTGGGTCAGGGCGTCCGGTACAGGTATCCGCCAGTTGAAGTCGAATTTCTTCGTCATTGTGGAGTGTTATGTGGAATACCGTTGGGTACCCTGTAAAGACAAATAGTTGTGAGAATTCAAGGTTAGTCTTCGCTACATAGTACCTTTCCATGAGCATTTGTAGACATCATTTAACAAATAGGTAATGTTCTGCAGTAAAGCTCAACTATCATGAAAATGGACCACTTCACTCACACATCACTCCGCCCATGACAAATATGAACCCAATAACTCCGACCCTAGGCGCACAGACCACTCGTCATCAGACCGAACCAGACCAGGCCGGTACAGACTGCGGACCATTAACCTCTCGACAGCCGCGACCGTTCCAAGAACTGTGACCACTTGACCTTAGTCAGAGGAAATTGCGTTTTTGTTGGGACTCTGGCGTGTCGTCAGCACTTCAGTAACTGAGTTGCGGGAAACTACCGCCATTTTCAGCGGACCAAAGCTGAATTGCCGCATTTGGATTTAGGCGGATTGTCACAGCGAGGCGCTAATATGGCGCCGTCGCAAAGTGCACCACACTGCCGGATCTAGCCGAAGCAGGATATCACGCTCTAGAGCTTCCAACAAGTGCACCAACTGGCCACTGATTAGCAATGCTGGTCACGCATTGGCCTGATACTGTCATTAACTAAATAACTCAGGCCCAAATTCCATGAACTGTCTCATCTATAGGTGATAGGTCATAGAGGTCACAGGAACGCATGAAAATGAGCCTTCTGTCCATGAGAATGGGTGTTTGTAATCCAGAATAAGAAAATTGATTGGTGATATAGGAAGACCCAGTTACGTTTCATTTATTGTATTTACAGGCTAGGGTCGTCGCGGGCGGCGCAGGCAGTCTTGTGGCACGAAACTCGGGGAACATTGATAATGCTGTGGTGTTGCATCGTAGTGTTGCAGTAAAGACGTTACAGGATTGTATTTCGTAAACCCTAGCGACCGCAAATCCGTGATATGTATCTATGTACTTTTGTTCGGTTACCCCTCGCTACGGCTGTTTCGAATTTCGATTGCCATCAGATCTCTCTCAATACGTTCCTATTGGCTCTGTCATCTGCCATAAATTCTTTCTCGTCCACGGCTATTCCTATAGCACTATAGCAGGCCAACACTCAGTGTCCGCCCGTTTTGGAATCCCGGATCAGTCGGCTATTGACGGTTTGGGCTGTTCTGCGGCCATTTAACGACCCATCCGTTGCGATTGCCCATTGGTGGCTATGGCCGTTGGGTCTGACCGTCTGTCGTTATGTCCTTCAACTGATCTCGTCCACGTCAAAATCGCCATTTGCCGTTAATGTGGCCCCACTCGGGCGTCATCTAACGTGTAAGGCTCTACGAACCCGGCCCTTGTTATGCGGTGTGGTCCGAGGCTTACCTTGCAAAGTTCACTGACTACCTTGTATATTTTTGAGCCATAGATGAAAAGGAGGGTTCCTTGAACTGCAATTATCATTTGTCTGTGTTCAGAATACCTTTGCCATACATACCTAACATGAATTTCGTTAGCTTCTCTTAAACCTTTGCATTTGTTAACGTCTCTTTTTACCGCACAACTCTTTTGTTTAAAATTAGAACGCAGCTGGTTCCATTTACCGATGGGCTATCGAGATTTGGTTCAGATTCGGCGGCCTTATTTCTCCCCAGCGTCATCAGGAGAGTCGCCAACTTTCGGCCGAGGCTTTCGTTTTCATACTCCTTCGAGTATTATGCCAGTTCTGCAAACATTGCATGGGGCAGTCGCTTTTCTACGTCAATGGATGATTGGAGCGGATGCAGCGGTTGACATGCTGAGTGTTTCAATGTGACTGATTGAAGGCATGCAAAATTGACAGGATCACGATAAACGTTTGATAAAAATCCGGACACTTTTCTAATTCTCCAAGATATCACAGGAAAATGCTTTATTATTCTATTTACATAGCCGTAATCATTTCTGCATGCATTCTGCGCTTCGTGTATTTAACAAAAGATTAGTTATGACAGGATAGCTAATGCGATATACCCGCTAAATGTGCCCCTTGATCTTTCTCTGGACGGCGCAAAGCGTTCTTTGCCAAGAATAATGCGTTTGTGTGTGTTTTTTTTTTTGCGCATTTTGTGTGTGAGATGCAACTTCGGCGGTACCATTTGACACTTCGGGGCCAGCACAACTCTTTATCATCCATGGCACAACTAAGGTAACGTTCTACCTACGCCAAAAAAAGTCCAAAGCTGTTGCATTAGCATGCAACTGGGGCTCCGGCACATACAATGTGTGTGCCCTTTCTAAGAATTAAAAATTAGATGAAAGGCATAGAAACTTGGAATTCATCTGCCAAAGCAGTCCCATAACGACCTCAATTCAACCAAGCCTTGAGATTTTCTCATCTTCAAACTCCCTCTGAAAGTGCACGCGAGTGTACAGAGGCGTATCAGTCCAACAGTAGGTGCTGGCTAGTGGCTACCTAAACCTATACGAAGAGGCTGGAGCGGTTTACATTCATCGGTATTCTCTCAAGATACACATGCGCATTTTAGTTGATTAATTGCATGGATGCAACGGCTTCATAGTCAGTGCTGCATTTCTTGGTCTCTCTCTCTCTCTCTCTCTCTCTCTCTCTCTCTCTCTCTCTCTCTCTCTCTCTCTCTCTCTCTCTCTCTCTCTCTCTCTCTTTCTTCAGAACATGGTCATATGTAGCGGTACAATTATGCTCTTACTGCATTGGTGTGATGAGTGGAATATTTCTTTTTATTTTATAATAAACAGCATTGAATAAAGCGTCTAATAATCGGAGCCTCGAAACTAAACAAAAACTTTTCTTTAAAATACTTTGTGAATGACCTCTCCTTGAAATTGTATGTAGGATCTATTTTACAAAAAGTCAAATACAGAAATGATAAATTTTCTATCACGGATCTTTGTCAAATCACATTCACATTCAAAATTCATTTTGAATTTTGAATGTGATTTGACAAAGATCCGTGATCGAAAATTTATCATTTCTGTATTTGACTTTTTGTAAAATATATCCTACATACAATTTCAAGGAGAGGTCATTCACAAAGTATTTTAAAGTACAAATGCTCCTTGCACAAGCACTAAGAAGACTGAAAAAACATTTTTTTAACGAAGTCACACAATAACCAAATGTTTGGTTGATGAGACATCGTTGTGCTTTCGCCGGCAAGGTAAATGACTGAGAATGAACGCACGCAATACAATACAAGAAAGGTATGGCCTGGGCAAGATGTTTACTGTCTGTAGGGGAAAGTGGGGTATGACGGGCATGTTAGTTTTGCGGGTCTGTACCTCTGAAGTCTTTTCTTCGATTGCTTCACCAATTTAGCACAACCATCTTCAGGCATTTTTCTTTCAGTGCCCCTTTGACACCTAAGGTCTAAATCCAATACTTTTCAATTGAGAGTGTTTTTAGCAAGACCCTGCAAAAACCCGTCTTACCCCACCGGGGAGGGTAAGACGGGCACTGATGTTGGGGCAAGACGGGCACAACGTTAGTTTGAACTTCTTTACATATTTACTGCCGAATAATTATGCTAATACATCTTACACATCTGGCTTTTGATCTTACAGTCAATATTGTAAGGTTCGTAGCATCGCACGGCTACTTATAGGCGTAATGGTATTGATCGATGTAATGAAAAAATTAAACAAATTCAAAGCTGTCTATTTAAATAATTTCGATGGAAATGCGTTGCAAATGATGTAGAACAGCGTAAGTTAGCTTAAAATAACAATATCAGATGGTTTGCATTCCTTTCATCATTGTTGCCCGTCTTACCCCATTCGGCTGCCAATAAGGATATCACACCGCCTCCGGGCACCAAATTAAAGGATTCATTCGCCAGCATACACATTTGGATGACACCCTAAGACGAAACTCTCATCAAATTTCCAAAACAAAATATGAAACAGCGAGGTCAGAAAACACTACGAAACACGATAGTTCTGCTTAGAGTGCAAGGCACGTTTTTAGCTTTTCCACAATTTTTCAAAAACTATTTAAGATGCGTACCTCTGCCTTCACCTCACAGCAAAGAACCACACGGCCGATTACCAACCACAACAAGAGGTTGCTAGCGCCAACGGTTTGGGCTAGAGGGCCGGTGCCCGTCTTTCCTACCCCGCCCGTCTTACCCCACTTTCCCCTACCTAACCTCATCATCTGTGACCAGTCCATATTTCAGATTTGCCATCCACAAAAATAACGCGCTTGGAATTTCATCTCCTCATCTCAGAACCCAGTGGGTACTCCACATCTCGCGCATTGGTTAAATATTTGTTAGATTCGGGGTAGAAGTATTCTTAACAGCCTTGATTGACTACATAGTACGAAGCAGGCAGAATCCCTAGACCTTGACCTTATCACGCATGCTGAATCCTAAACGATTAGCCGTGCTCGACCGACTGGCAGCTGAAAAGTTCCAGTCTTTCGTCCAGCTGTGCCCCCCCCCCCCCCCCACCCTCCCCCCAGCGCTAGGTCAGGTCAATACACCAAGATCCGGCTGAAACCGGAATGAGCGTGCCCCCAGGTACCTACTCATCAATTCTGAGCTCAACAAGTTAGCACGCACTCAGTATGCTTGGCTTCAAGCCCAGGGCAGAGTTTTCTTTGATTATTTCCAAAACAGACGGAGGCCGTGTTTACGTCAGCCTAACGCTCGATGGCCATTTCGTGATGCGATGAACGAGGCAACAAAAATCGTTATATCCGGCAAGATATAGGCATCGATACAGGCAAAATGCTTATTTCTTTCAGTTGAAATAATTTCACTGTGCTTCGTAGTCATTATGAGCGTGGGTACGTCAGGTGCCCACATATAAAGGTATCCGTAAAAAAAACATTCAAAACAAGGAAATGACAAATTAACCCGCGCCCTGCTGGGGGGTGTTTGAACACCCCCCCTTGTGGTTTTTCGCGAATATCTCAAAAACAGCGGCGCGGAATACATCAATTCTACACATGTTGTGAAAATTTCAGACCAAGGTCATTCAAGATCAGGTCACCAGGTCACTTGAAGTGACCTCACCTCATAAAAAGTTT